GTCCCGAGCCCGTGGCCCCCCGTAAGACAGTCGCGGCCCACGCGTTGGGAACCACAGCTCCAAAGAGATCCCCCCTTCCCAGGCAGCAGAACCCGTTAGCCCCTGACAACGAAAGCACAACGGAAAGGACGCCTCCGCCCAGCCTCCCGCCCCCTTCCTTTGCCAGCAGGGCTGAGCTGCAAGAGCTGGGCTGAAGGGCCTTTCAACCCAGTCTGCCCTCATCCCTCCTACACGGGGCCGTGCAGGTCACAGGGCTGGGGCAGCTCCTCGAGGCTTCGGGCCTGCACAGAAGCAGTCGCTCTCGTCTGCTCTCCAGGCAGACTCCACAGCTGGGCCTTCCCCTCGTGTCGCCCCACACTGCTAGCTGACAGGACAGAGCAGCCTCAGGCCCCTTGCCCTTTCCAGGACTTGCCTTTTGGTCCTATCACAACACTGTGCTGCGGGCCTCCATTGTGCGGCAGCACACTCACCTCTCACATGCACGCTCTGCCTTGCGGTGCACTGCCATTTATCGCCATGGGTACTGCGCGGTTGTGCGCTGCTTAGCCAGCAACAATATATTGTGCAACACCAGGAGCCCTGGAGCCAGGACAGCTTCGTTGCACTCCGTGAAGTTCCCCCTGCACAGAGCTTCATTCTCACTAACCTCACATTGACCTTCTGCTCTGGGGATGCCTGTTCATTCCCTGATCCGGAGATTGTACCAACAGGCCAACGGACTGCTAGTAAACAGGGCGTGTGCTGGCTAACCTCCTATAAATCAATGCACATTGACATGAAATTCACCAACTTGGTTCCATTGCCTTCTGGGGGCTGGTAAATATTTCTGGGAACAGGCAGCTCCCTGCCTGGTTTTAATTACCTGGGAGAGTTTTCCTAAGGATTACCCTGACCTCAAATATTTCCACATCAATCAGGTGCCATGTTCTTGAGGCTTTCCCCCTTAGATACTAATGCAGTCTGGTTAATATTTAAAACCATGTGACCACCACTGGGTGTCACACAGGCAGTTAAATGATGCCACAACTTCCCAGGGACAGAACTTATGGGGATTATGCCGTCTTTGCTGGGCAAAACATAACCACCACTATGGACCTGATCCAAACCCCGTTTGGATCCAGGGAGAAACTCTTGGGGACTTGAATGGGTTTTAGATCTAGTCCAAAGAGCCCAGCCCTGCAGGTATGAATGGCTGTGTTACTCACACATTTGCCTCTGGCAAAATCCAACAAGGGCCTCATCATTGAGCCAGAATTAAAGTGAGGGTAGAATTTTTCCCTGCCAGCTAAGAGAGACTCGCTGCTCTGTCCTCTGCAGGGAGCGGCTGCTGTAGCTCAGAGAGAAGTGTTCTCCTCCAGCCAGGCAGCTCCGTGCGCAGCCCCGAGGCAAGGCTCATTAAGCAACTGCAGGACGGTTCTGTCATGTAGCTTAGAGGGAACCTTGGATTTCCCTATTGAGGCTAACACGTTGAGGGCCAGCATCAGTATGGCTAGACTCCAGCCAAAGAACCGGCTCCGATTGTATCACATTTTTATTTTCTATGTGGTCCATGGACATTAATGAACCCTCATGCTTCCCCAGGGCTGTGGATCGCTATGATCCTCATTTGACACATGGGGAAACTGAGGTACATAGTGGGAAAGTGAGTTGACCAGGGCCACACTGCAAAGAAAGCAAAGCAAGGTGCAAGGGTGTATATACATGTAAGACCTAAGGCAAGTGCCACCCCTGTTAGCCCAAAAACAATCAGGGTTGGGGGGGGAGGGGAATCCCTATAGGTTTAGATATGAGGACAAGTTCCCCTTTGTGGCTTTCAAGTTTCATTACCTTCTTGATCTAGACTAGGATTCAGCTCTAGTCCATTAATGCTGCTGCACAGTATTGCTCCTGAGATTTCTGCAGTGACTAACAACACCCAAGAACCGTGGGCTTAGGCCTGGCCAGGGCTGCATTGTGAACTATAGAAAGCATGTGTGTGTGTGTGTGTGTGTGTGTGTGTAGAAAGTGTGTGTAGAAAGTGTGTGTGAACTGTAGAAAGCGTGGGTGTGCATGTGTAGAAAGTGTGTGAACTGTAGAAAGCGTGGGTGTGCATGTGCGTAGAAAGTGTGTGTAGAAAGTGTGTATGAACTGTAGAAAGCGTGGGTGTGCATGTGTAGCAAGTGTGTGAACTGTAGAAAGCGTGTGCGTGCGTGTGTGTAGAAAGTGTGTGTTTGTGTGTATGTGTAGAAAGCGTGTGAACTGTAGAAAGTGTGTGTGTGCGTGTGTCTGTGTGAACTGTAGAAAGTGTGTGCGTGCGTGTGTGTAGAAAGTGTGTGTGTACGCGTGTGCAAGACGGAGCGAGGGCCACTCTGTCCATTTGTGTGACGGTGCCCGTCACGTTACGTGCCACTGCTGGCCTGCGTTTGTGTGAGGGTGCGAGACACGGGGTGACGCTGCGTTTGCCGGGTCTTCTCCCCTTTCACCGCCTTGGCCGTCCAGGCTTCTCTGTCTTTGACGGCTCACAGGCAGCCCGGTTGCAAAGCTGCCAGTTCCTGTTCAGTGGTTTACCCCTCCTGCTGGAGTCCATCGCTGCCAAGCTTTCCTTGGTCACCATAGCAGCAAATGGGGCTGCTGCCTAGCAATATAAAAACCTTGTCTTGCCCTGCCAGGATAGGCTCCCAACACCAAGCTACTGGTTCTCCTCACCCCTGATTGGCTTGCCCGGTGCTACTCACCCAGGGTAACGTTTTTTGTTGGTTACGTTTCTTGTTGGATAACTGCGGCATATCAAGAAATAATAAGTGCTTCGCTTCCAGGTATTCAAGGGGAGTTAATGGCATCTTGAGCGGAAATTATTGTTTAAAAGCCTTTCCCTCTTTGGAGTTCCACTGAGAGCCACCTAATCAAAAAGAGCAGCAAAATACTGATGATGTGAAGGCAGGAAAATGGAATGTGACAAGCAAGAGGAGCGGAGCCTAATGGTTAAGCCAGGGCCTGGGAGTCAAGACTCTATTTTCAGTTCATATTGATTTCCTTTGTGGCCCCAGGTGAGTCACTTCCCCTGTCTGTGTCTCCGCCGGCCCCAGCTGGTTGCTAGTGGTTTGAAATCTGGGGCGGACAGCACTGCAGAGAGATCACCGTGCTGTGTGCAGGGTGCGGGGGGCGCCACGTTTATGGAAGCGGCACCGTTTGCAGCGACAGGTGTGTGACGGAGCTGGGGCCGAGCGCGGAGGACGGGATGCTGGGCCGCGGTGTGGCAGCGTCGAGCGGGGGCATGCCCACTGACGTCCGTGGCTTTACTTCCCTTTGCACAAGGGAGCTCAGACTCGGAGCCAAAAGCGGGAGGGAAAAGTACCGAGCCGCTTTGGAACTGGTGCACTGAGAGCTGGGGCACGTACGCGGCTACCGCGAGCTGGGGGCTGAGTGCAGAGACAACTGCCTGTGTGACGCGAGTGGTAGGAGTGTAATGTTAGCCGGGTGCCCAGCTCAGAAAGCAGCACTGCGCCAGCAGCAGCGCAGAAGTAAGGGCGGCAAGACCCTACCCGTGTCGCCCTTACTTTGTATTGCTGCTTTCAGAGCTGGGGGTAGTAAGTGGTGGCTGTTGAAGTATGGGTGACCACATTCCCCCACGCCTTCCTTACTGCTGTGCTGCTGCTGCTGGCCAGATCTGGAGGCAATGCTGCTGCCAGCAGCTGCACAGAAGTAAGGGGAGCAATACTGCAAACTGCCCCTACAATAACCTTGCAACCCCCCCCTCCCCAACTCATTTTTGGATCAGGACCCCGACAACTACAACACTTTGGCCTTTCAGATGCAAATAGCTAAATTCATGGAACTTACCATTTTAAAAACCCTACGGCTGTGAAATTGACCAAAACAGACCTAGCTATATAGACGCTGTGGATGCCAGGCGCACCATGTATTTCCGTTTGCTCTGTGTGTCTTAGGAGCACAGGACGTGCCAAATTTTCAACAGCTTCTCCAGGCCGCTACCTCATCTCCAGCAGGGGCCGGCACAGACACGTCTCCAGGGAGCGGTCCTTGGGGAAGAGCAAAGCACAGCGGTCAATATGTCTTGTCAATTTCGATTTGCAGAAGGAAACAAACAATGGCCCCAAGGAACAGAGGCAAAGGAAAGACGGGAGGGAAACAGAAGAAAAAGAAGATTGTGGCAGGTGAGCTTGGATCCCGGCAGCCAGTCCAGAAGATTCCTCTGTCCCCCTGTTTCTGTGCCCCGACACCCCACGCCTAGTGCCAGAGACTGACTTGGCTGCAGGCCCCAGGGAGCCCAAGCTGGGAACGCTGGGCTGCTGGAATGTGTGGGACAACATTCCTCAGTGGGACAACATTTCTAGTGCTTTCTCATCCTCCCTCCCCCAGCCCCGAGCCCTGGCTGGGCCACAGCACAGCCGCTCCTACGTGCTGATGAGAACCAGAAGGCAGATGAGAACCATCCAAGGGCCTTTCCTACCAGGTTAATCACCTCCCAAGCCAGGCGGAAGCTACGAATCAGAGACTGGACCTCTCAGGCCCCTGATTCTCCCACCGGGGCCTTTAAAATGGAAGCACCCGGCATTGCGCCGTAGGGACAGAGATGCCGGAAGATTGCTAGGAGGGAACTCCTGAGCACTTACATGTCCAGGAGACTCGGTCTTAGCCAATTTCAGTGGTTTCCAGGGAAATGTTCTGCATAACCCCAAGCAGGCTTTCCTCTTGGCTACCACCAGGACACGCTCCCCAGCCGAAGTGGCATGGTTAGGGCACTGCACTGACTTATTCCCACTGGCCGGCCCGGGCAACGGTTTGGAGTCCCTGGTTCCTACATGGTGGTAGATCTGATTCCTACTCTTCACACGGCAGCAGGGCAAGCGGGTGCTATGGGACAGATTGTCCAAAAAAGCACCTCCTGAAAGGTGCAGGTCAGGCAGAAAAAGCTGGCCCCACACATCAGAGAGGGAGTCACTGGGGCCTGAGCCCTGTCAGAAATCTGGCCCTTATTCAGATGCCTACATGGGAGTGAAGATCTCTGGAAAATCTGGCCCTGTTTCTGGTTACTGGGCTTGACGATCCAGCTGCACCAGGGGAGGAGAAGGGAGAAGCAGGATTCCAGGCCATCCTGACCTAGAGTTTCTCTCATCCTCTGCGTCAGATTGGCAATAACCGTCTCTGTCTCGCTCACTGCAGAAAACGAAGTGGAAGAGAAATACAGGAAAGCAGCCCTGGAAGTGGACATCTTGAAAGAGCACCTGGGTAAGAGCCTTTGTTCCTTCCAGGGGACATGTGTCCCGCTCCACTGGGGCTTGGTCCCAGGTGGAAGATCAAACAGAGGGGAGCTCTCTCCCTTCACAGGGGAGACAGCTCCTGGGAGCTAGCGAGTTTCCCATATGGGATCAGTCACTATCCCCTGATTCTCATCAGAGGCGCCAGCTTTCATAGCAAGCAGCCCAGCGGTGCTCAGTTTTCGTTATGCCAATGTAAATCTGAAATCACTCCAGCAAGGTCAGTGAGTTCTGCCACTGTAAGTGTGGACAGAATCAGCCTCAGGCCTAGTGATTTATCTCTCTCAGCCCCTTTCCACTGGAAGAACCTCTGAACGGCTTTATAATTATGCCTAGGAGTCCCTCCCCCTCTTTCTCCCCCTCCCCCAGACTCAGAATGCAGCCACCCCTGGGGTGGAGCGCAGCAGCTGTTTCACAAGGCTCCGGGATACTATGCAACAGCTTAGGACAGGAAGTGAAGAAAAATAGCACCCTGCTATTGAAAGTGCAAGGGAGGCCTGTAGGGAAGCAGATCACACATGGTCAAGGGTAATTAACCATGGGAACAACTTACCAAGAGTTGTGGTGGCTTCTGCGTCACTAGAACTTCAGAAATTCACCCAGTTTTGATTTACAAAAAAACCTGCTCTTGTTCAAAACAGGAAGTTTTTTTGTAACCTGTGTAGCCAGGAGGTCAGACATGTGAATGAATCTGGCTAAGGCATCGTGGTTAATAAGCTGGGCCCAGATCCTCAGAGGTATTTAAGTGCCTAATTCCCATTGAACCAGTGAACAGTAAGGATACATCTACACAGCAATATTAGTTCGAAATAACTAGTGTTCTTTTGAAATAACAGTCTGTGTCCACCCAGCCAGCCAGCAATTTTGAAATAATGCAAAATACTGTCAAGCTGGAGGACTTCTTACTCTGACTCCTGTAACCCTCATGGTACGAGGAGTAAGGGAAGTCGCGGGAAGCGTGCTCTATTTCGAAAGAAGTGCTGTGGAGACGCTCTCAGTTTTGAAATAAGCTACGCAATTGACATTGCTCAATTTGCATCGCTTATTTCGAGGTAAGCCCTGCTGTGTACATGCACCCCAAGTGCTTAAATCTTTGGGAGTATCTGAGCCCTGGAGTTTGGGAAAAGTGCAGGGACCTGCCGGTGACCAGGTATGTCCCCTGCTCTGCTCCCCGCCCCACCGCACTGAGACACAGTGATCACCACGGGCACCTTGCACTGAAACACCGTCATCTCGGGCCGCTCCAAAAGGCCCTCTGAGCAGTAAGCAGGGAAGGGGGGAGAGACATGCCATGCACTGTGGTTCTTTGCACTTCCCATGGCTCCAGTCCTGAGCTCACAGGGAAGCACATAGGTGTATCCATCCCTTCCCTAAATACTCCAAGGGCAACCGCGCGGGGTACCTGCTGGGGGCAGCACGTGACGCGAGGGGAGGATGTTCCACCCTCTCGGCTAAGGGATGTGTCTCTGCCGCTGGCAGCCCTCTGGCGGGACGTGGCCAGGCAGGCCAAGGCCGACGGGGAAGGACTCAAGCGAAGGCTGCTGGAGCTGGAGCTGGAGCTGGAGCTGGAGCGGACGACAAGAAGGATATTTATGAAGGTGAGGGGCTGGGCTGCTGTTGCCTGGAGCTCGTGGGCTGTGGTGTGCTGCCGCTTTACCACACTTCTTCCACCAAGAGGGAGGCTGGGGGAGGAGAGTGGGCACTTGCAGCTGGCTGCTGTCCAAGGCTGGAGGGGTGCCTGAACCCCCCCAGCTCTGCCCAAGGAGGCAGAGGCAGCTGCAGCCAAAGCGTGGGCGCCCGGCCCACACGAACAGAGAACAACTGGGCTTGGGTACGATGCCCCCACAGGGGGCAGCATGGTCCCTTGGGGGGTCCCCGCCTCCCACTCCATCCATCGCCACAGAGCAGTGCTCCTCGGGCTGTACTGGGCTGTGCTCACACTCGGCGTCAGGGGAGGGTTGCCCCCAGCTGCGGGCTCTAGGGCCTCAGTCTTTGTCCCCAGACCCCCAACATGGCAGGCCCACACTGGCCTTTCCCATTAGCCACAGGGGGCAGCATGGTCCCTTGGGGGGTCCCCGCCTCCCACTCCATCCATCGCCACAGAGCAGTGCTCCTCGGGCTGTACTGGGCTGTGCTCACACTCGGCGTCAGGGGAGGGTTGCCCCCAGCTGCGGGCTCTAGGGCCTCAGTCTTTGTCCCCAGACCCCCAACATGGCAGGCCCACACTGGCCTTTCCCATTAGCAGCAGCTCCAGCCCTGCCAGGGCTTTTCCTAGAAGGCAAAGCTGAGCCAGGGTGCGTGAGCTGGGCAGTGCCAAACCCTACACTGCGGTGTCTCCCCGCAGTCGGGCTTACGGGCCATATTCCCCTCGGGGACGCTTCCCCACTCGCAGCCCCGGTGCCCCTAGCACTGGTGGGAGGGGTGGGGCCCACCACAAGGAGGCCTCTGCAGGACAGGGGGTGCGGTGATCACCTGAGCCCTGGGTTCAAGCCTCTGCTTTGCTGCAGCCGCCGTGTGAGCCTGGGCCTGCCCCGAGTCTCTCGGCGAGGCTGGAACGCTTACAGAAAAGGGCCTTAGGGGAGCCTGTGACAGACAGGAGGGGAGCAGGCCTCTTGGGCTGCCTTTCTGTCCCTCTCTGTCACCACGTTCGGTATCTTCCCCTCCCCCCAATGCTCAGAGATGATCCGACAGCACCAGGAGCTCCAGCGGCAGACTGAGACCCGCATGCAGCAGCTGGAGACGGAGACAAAGCAGCTCCAGGAGCAGCTCGGTAGTTCTGGGGTGAAGGGAGGCGCCCCAGGCCGGCGGGGTGGGTCACAGCCTCCTTCCCCTCCCCCCAAAGCAGGGGCGTGCGCGCCGGCCAGCGAGAATGTCTGAGATTCTGCTGAATGGTGGTTCTGGGAACGTGCCTCTCTCTGGGACCGGCTGGGGTTCCCCCCGCGGGCTCGGGGGAGCCCCCAGAATCCAGGCTGGGGCCCAGTCTCTCCTGCTGTCCACGGGGTCCTGGCTGGTCCCTCCGGCCCGCGGCACTTTAGAGACACTCGCCCAAAGGGAACGGTCAATGGTGGGATCCCGTCTTCCATCTTGTCGCCTGGGCGCCTCTCAGCCCGGCATTCTCTGCCGAGCCCACGAGGAGGCGGCCAGCTGATTCCACTTTGCCACCAGCCTCAGCCCTAGGGAAACCCCCCCTGCA